ATTCTGTACATCATTGTACACCATTCATTTCTGTACTTATTTGATATCTTTATTCTGTACTTATTTGATATCTTTATTCTGTACATCATTGTACACCATTCATTTCTGTACTTATTTGATATCTTTATTCTGTACATCATTGTACACCATTCATTTCTGTACTTATTTGATATCTTTATTCTGTACTTATTTGATATCTTTATTCTGTACATCATTGTACACCATTCATTTCTGTACTTATTTGATATTTTTATTCTGTACATCATTGTACACCATTCATTTCTGTACTTATTTGATATCTTTATTCTGTACATCATTGTACACCATTCATTTCTGTACTTATTTGATATCTTTATTCTGTACTTATTTGATATCTTTATTCTGTACATCATTGTACACCATTCATTTCTGTACTTATTTGATATTTTTATTCTGTACATCATTGTACACCATTCATTTCTGTACTTATTTGATATCTTTATTCTGTACATCATTGTACACCATTCATTTCTGTACTTATTTGATATCTTTATTCTGTACTTATTTGATATCTTTATTCTGTACTTATTTGATATCTTTATTCTGTACATCATTGTACACCATTCATTTCTGTACTTATGTGATATCTTTATTCTGTACATCATTGTACACCATTCATTTCTGTACTTATTTGATATCTTTATTCTGTACATCATTGTACACCATTCATTTCTGTACTTATTTGATATCTTTATTCTATACATCATTGTACACCATTCATTTCTGTACTTATTTGATATCTTTATTCTGTACTTATTTGATATCTTTATTCTGTACATCATTGTACACCATTCATTTCTGTACTTATTTGATATCTTTATTCTGTACTTATTTGATATCTTTATTCTGTACATCATTGTACACCATTCATTTCTGTACTTATTTGATATCTTTATTCTGTACTTATTTGATATCTTTATTCTGTACATCATTGTACACCATTCATTTCTGTACTTATTTGATATCTTTATTCTGTACTTATTTGATATCTTTATTCTGTACATCATTGTACACCATTCATTTCTGTACTTATTTGATATCTTTATTCTGTACATCATTGTACACCATTCATTTCTGTACTTATTTGATATCTTTATTCTGTACTTATTTGATATCTTTATTCTGTACATCATTGTACACCATTCATTTCTGTACTTATGTGATATCTTTATTCTGTACTTATTTGATATCTTTATTCTGTACATCATTGTACACCATTCATTTCTGTACTTATTTGATATCTTTATTCTGTACATCATTGTACACCATTCATTTCTGTACTTATTTGATATCTTTATTCTGTACATCATTGTACACCATTCATTTCTGTACTTATTTGATATCTTTATTCTATACATCATTGTACACCATTCATTTCTGTACTTATTTGATATCTTTATTCTGTACTTATTTGATATCTTTATTCTGTACATCATTGTACACCATTCATTTCTGTACTTATTTGATATCTTTATTCTGTACTTATTTGATATCTTTATTCTGTACATCATTGTACACCATTCATTTCTGTACTTATTTGATATCTTTATTCTGTACTTATTTGATATCTTTATTCTGTACATCATTGTACACCATTCATTTCTGTACTTATTTGATATCTTTATTCTGTACATCATTGTACACCATTCATTTCTGTACTTATTTGATATCTTTATTCTGTACTTATTTGATATCTTTATTCTGTACATCATTGTACACCATTCATTTCTGTACTTATGTGATATCTTTATTCTGTACTTATTTGATATCTTTATTCTGTACATCATTGTACACCATTCATTTCTGTACTTATTTGATATCTTTATTCTGTACATCATTGTACACCATTCATTTCTGTACTTATTTGATATCTTTATTCTGTACTTATTTGATATCTTTATTCTGTACATCATTTTACACCATTCATTTCTGTACTTATTTGATATCTTTATTCTGTACTTATTTGATATCTTTATTCTGTACATCATTGTACACCATTCATTTCTGTACTTATTTGATATCTTTATTCTGTACATCATTGTACACCATTCATTTCTGTACTTATTTGATATCTTTATTCTATACATCATTGTACACCATTCATTTCTGTACTTATTTGATATCTTTATTCTGTACTTATTTGATATCTTTATTCTGTACATCATTGTACACCATTCATTTCTGTACTTATTTGATATCTTTATTCTGTACTTATTTGATATCTTTATTCTGTACATCATTGTACACCATTCATTTCTGTACTTATTTGATATCTTTATTCTGTACATCATTGTACACCATTCATTTCTGTACTTATTTGATATCTTTATTCTGTACTTATTTGATATCTTTATTCTGTACATCATTGTACACCATTCATTTCTGTACTTATTTGATATCTTTATTCTGTACTTATTTGATATCTTTATTCTGTACATCATTGTACACCATTCATTTCTGTACTTATTTGATATCTTTATTCTGTACATCATTGTACACCATTCATTTCTGTACTTATTTGATATCTTTATTCTGTACTTATTTGATATCTTTATTCTGTACATCATTGTACACCATTCATTTCTGTACTTATTTGATATTTTTATTCTGTACATCATTGTACACCATTCATTTCTGTACTTATTTGATATCTTTATTCTGTACATCATTGTACACCATTCATTTCTGTACTTATTTGATATCTTTATTCTGTACTTATTTGATATCTTTATTCTGTACATCATTGTACACCATTCATTTCTGTACTTATTTGATATTTTTATTCTGTACATCATTGTACACCATTCATTTCTGTACTTATTTGATATCTTTATTCTGTACATCATTGTACACCATTCATTTCTGTACTTATTTGATATCTTTATTCTGTACTTATTTGATATCTTTATTCTGTACTTATTTGATATCTTTATTCTGTACATCATTGTACACCATTCATTTCTGTACTTATGTGATATCTTTATTCTGTACATCATTGTACACCATTCATTTCTGTACTTATTTGATATCTTTATTCTGTACATCATTGTACACCATTCATTTCTGTACTTATTTGATATCTTTATTCTGTACTTATTTGATATCTTTATTCTGTACATCATTGTACATCATTCATATCTGTAGTCAGTATTTTATTACTTAATTCTTTTATTTTCCACAGTTTCTCTTTAAACTTTTGCACTCCATTTTCCCTATTCTTTATTTTGTTGACTCATTTTTCTCTACCAATTATATAGTTTCCCATTATTCTCAATTCTGTAAACCCCACCCAGACCCTCGTATACTGACCTCATAATGTTTAGTATTACTTATGAACTTCTTCATGTTCTTGTTAGCGAACGTTGTTATTAGTAGATATTATATTTTTTGTAGAAAAAATAAACTGTATTTGATTATTAGCGCTGCGATATCCATTAGGTCGAATATAATTTTTTTATCAGATAGCATATTATATATAGACTGCACGTACTGACACGTGCATCAAGACAGCATAATAAGATATATAAGAGTTAATGTCATACGCTTAGCATTTATTTGTATTTTTGGCATGTTTGTTTTGAAGTGTTTTATGTTCAGATCGTACAATGATAAATTATTCACTTTTGGTCAGAACCCCAAAGGGTGACAGGGGAATAGAAGTATGGTCACTAAGGTCTTCTTCCGACAGTCAGTAAAACCCTTGCCAAAGAAGGGTATCCGTTGGCTGTGCGGGATGTACAAGGTCGCAGCCATGTTCGGTTGGATTGAGGACATTAAATCCAAAAGCGCTCGTGTAAAGAGAGTGTCACAACTCTTTAAGGGTTTCGTATGTGGTCTGTTTCAGGCAAAATGTCTGTCCCTATCTAATATACCTTCATTTTCCAGTGGTAGTCCAAATTTCACCGACCTTCTTCCCGGACTGCATCGACTATATTGCATGACCTACCTATTATATATATATTGTTTATTTGTTCTCGTCCTAAACATGCATGAAATGTTTGCCACTGGAAGTTAATCAACCAACAATCAATCAATCTTAATATGATCAATATGAAATCCCCCCAAAAAAAAGCTTAAATTAAGCTCTGATTTTTGTTTCTAAAATAATACGTGGTCATAAATCATGTCGATCGACATGATAATCGTATCGTCGTTTCCTCGTGAGTCACTTTAATAATAAAAATGTTTTCAGATCCCGAAAAACTAATAAAACTTTATTTAACCTGCTTTTTGGTGGCTTCTTTTCTAAGAACTCGAGCGTAAAACTTAAATAAGACAATGCATCGTGAAATATGCTTATCAGACCCACCAGAGAGAAATATACCTGCACTTAAACTTATACCTTTATTTAAGTGAATTTCAATAGTTGGATTTTATTATCATTCTGATTAAATAAATGCGTGGTTCATTGCGACTAAGTTTGAAGTGAACCACAAATCCATCAATGATTGTTTTAGTAGGGAAGATGCCAAAACGATTTGTCCATTCACAAAGTATTCCAAAAAGCAAAATATGTGCTAATAAATCTTTTATACACTGATTTGATGTGTATGGCAGATCCTTGACAGTCTCGCTTCAACTCATTCACAATTTTCTATACTGAGCTGACATATAATTTGACATATTATATAAGACATTATTAAGGTAGATACGTTAACCTTGTTTTTTTTGTGTCGTTCGGCTGCTGTAACTCTAAAATTTCCCTTATCAGCCTATTATATCAGTCGTCTTGTCCTAGAACAAGTTCAAAAAACGTCAACAAGTATAGGTACTGAGAGACAGGTTCTTTTAATTGCATTTTTAAGAATAAAACTTGGTCGTGTTTTCTGAGCAAAAGCTTAGATATATTTGATATACACCTAAGTATAATACATATGTATCCAAATATTCAGTTTGTTGTCCTTAATTAAGAATAATTAGTAGATGTATATACACGTAAATGTATAACAGATGTAACTCACCTCCAGGGTCGACATTCTTCAGTAACATTCCTTCTAAGAACGTGGCTTGTGACGCGTTATATTTGGCTGCTTGTTTCCAATCCTTCACCATACTTTCTTCATCACAATAAAACTTAAACTTAGCTTGAACATTGAAACTCAAAGGAAGTGACATTGTGTGCATTTTGGTTAAAACACACATTCACTCTAACACTTTTCGCATCACAACTGTCGCATTAAATCCCTGATATCCACAGATTGGATTACCATTCGTGACGAATTTATCATTCCTATAATTTCCAACTACGAAAGATGTTTCTCTCCAGGGACGTCGTCAATAATGACAGAGAATTTTGATTACATGATCCCTAGGACAGCTCGTGTTTATTTCATCGTCAGTATTCTACCAGATCAATCGAAAAATTGCCAGAAATACACTGTAATCAAAAATCAATGGTCGGACATAAACCTTTCCATTTTCATCTAGTAAATGGTCTTTGTTATTATCCCTTTGTTCAATTTCAATGCAAAATGTAGAGTAGAGAGCCGTCTTCTAAACACAAGATAACGATGACCTATACAGAGCCAACAAAATCAGTATCTACTGCAACTAGTATATATCATTAATCCTAATAGCTACCAGTACTTACTTTTTCTCTTTACATGTAGTTTGTTTAATTGAATATTGATTCGTATAAAGTAATCTATGGACCATTATAGAACAATTAAACAAATATTACCGTATGAATACAAATACGATCAGAAGGATCGACTAAACATTTTCTCCTATTCGATATATATCAGCACTGTGATTTGATTAATTAATTAATAACTCATATTACGTTGATATAGCTGGGAGCTCAGGATGTTTTTTATTGAAATATTTTTTATAAACCGACTGGTTAGTTTTACAGTATGTTTACCAATAACATCCTATAAATAATAAAGTTAAGTGATTGAATATCGAACAAGAAATAGAAACAGTTATAAAGGATATACAATTATTGCTGAACACAGAGTAAATTGTGTGTGTGTGTGTGTGTGTGTGTGTGTGTGTATGTGTGTGTAATTGTTCGGGGTGGGGTAGTTTATAATAGATAGAAGTCAAATCGGGATTTTTATTATATTTATTTCATATACTTATAGATGTCTTGAATGTTGGGTTTGTTTTCTTGAAGACGTTAACCCCCCCAAGGGTGACTGGGGAATAGAAGAATGGTCACTATTGGTCTTCCTCCGACCGGCGGTAAAACCCTCGCTAAAGTGGGGCGTCCGTTTGGCTGTGCGGGATGTACAAGTTCGCAGTCACGTCCGGTCAGATTGGGGACGTTTAATCCGATGCCTCGTGTAAAGAGAGTGCCACGTTCTTTGCACGTTAAGAACCCTTGCAACAACTCTCTGAGGGGTCCGTAGGTGGCCTGTTGCAAGGCGAAATTTATGTCCTTGTCCAATTTACCCTCATTTTCCCGTGGCAGTCCAAATTTTCCCGACCTTCATTCCGGACGGCCTCTATTACAGGACCTACCTGTTGTATTTATTGTTAATTTGTTCTCGTCCTGAATATGCATGAAATATTTGCCACTGGACGTTAAGCAACCAACAATCAATCAATCAATTGAAGACGTTAACCTCGCACTTTCTTTTACTAATTCTAACAAGGATGCAAGATTATATTGACATCTCGTATTTTCCAAGGTACCCAGAGGCGGATTTAGGGGTTGGGGTTGGGGGGTTGGGGGGGGGGGGGGGGGGGGGGGGGGGGGGGCAGGAGGCCCGCCCCCCTTTTATGGGAAAAATTTGGTTATTTAGGGAATCACTAGAGCGGGCCCCCTCTTATGGCAGTCAGTGCCCCCCTCTCCCCCCCCCCCCCCCCCCCCCCATTATAAACATTTCTGGATCCGCCATTAGTACTGTATTAATCATTATAAGGGACCATGGTGAGATCAAAAGTTTGATGTCAAATATCTGTTATTTTTCAGCTTATTTGTTAACTCTATGCGTTTTGTACATGAATGACTATACATGAGCCCGATTTTTCAAAAAGAGAAGGGGCACGTGAAACTTCAGGAAAAAAGTAAAAGATAAAAAGTGGGGTGGGAGAGAAAATAGAAAAACAGAAAAAAATACGGTAGATCAACTGTCTTGAAGTTTCTTCATTATACAAGTTCCAAATTATTCTGGAATGTTATTTCCGATGGAACAAATATTACTGTATTTTTTACTAACGGAATAAAGAGTATGTAGTTTTGTTTCAACTGGAATAGATATTATATATTATGGCATTGTTGATAACAAAGTCTCCAGGGCAACTTCTGTTAGGTGGAACACATATATACGTTGACCGTATTAAAAATAAAGTGTTGCACCTCGATCAAGGGATCCCTTATATCCACACATCCGATCCGCTCCTGTTATACTCGGGTAAATATAGTTACGTCATCTTTGAACTCGGTTAAAGCAAGATTAAGTCATTTGTGGTATTCGTTTAAATGTAAGGTTAATTAAGTCACCTGAAGCAAGGTTTTTCACCGCAGCAATATTTCAATTGCTAACAAATGTCTAACTAAACAAACTAGATAAGCTCAGACTGCAAAAAAAAATAAAATAAAAATAAAACAATAGTATATTTTTGAACTTGCTTTGGTGTTAATAAAAATGCCGGGTGGACTAGATTATACTCTGACTCTAATTTGTCCTCTTGAAAGCAAAGTGGGTAATTTCTTCCACATTAGAAATGAAAATCTAAAAAAGTTATGATAAAATACATCACTTAAATTATTGGCTTTGCGATGTTCTCTTTTAAAATCTTGAGTTTGTTTCATCAATTACTTTATGGATGATCTTATGTATGTTATGTGACCGAGCGCATTTTTGTATAAAGCTTGGCTCTCTAACCTTTGCACAACACTATATGAGACGGGTCGACCACTGTGCCATTCAATGTTTTAACCAACCTTATATTAATAGAAAGGTAACTGCTAGAACATCTGGTTTTTATCATTTGCTGAGTAAAACAATGGTTAGGAATTACAGTTTAATTACAGATAGTAAGTTAACTTCAAATTACAACGGCATGAACATCCTGTTTGATTATATCTTTTAGAATTTACTTAGTTTTACGCTTCAATTTATAACTATAGAAGGAAGTATTATACGAAGAATCCATTATGTTAACTACTTCAACAATTTATAGTTTTAAATACTTAAGTACTTAAACTTCAAATATGAAGATTATGAAAATGCTAAACTAAGCAACATAAATATAGATGCACAATTATTCTTTGGAAAAATACACGCACATTAAAGTGATTTCAGTGAACGATTTGAGTATGTCTGTGAAGAAAATTCTCTTAAACTTTACATTTATACAGAATTTGATTGTGCATAAAACATAAAAGATTGCATTTTACAGAAGATAACTCTTTTTAAAGGAGAGAGAGAGAGGAAGAATGAAATTCAACTTGTTCCTTTTCTTGACATACGTGTAGCTATAATTAACTGGGTTTTTATATCTGATAATTATCAATAACATTATAGATATGATAACATATACACAGTATGTATAAATATCGTGAGAAAACGTCAATTTGTTGGCAAAGAATACAACAAAACATGTAAAACATAACGAGCTGTTGTTCTTTTCTATCATGATGAATTACACTTTACCATAAAATGTACCAAACTCAATGATCTGAGGAATAAATTTTTTCAGAATATTTCTGATATTTTACCATCTTTCAATAATCTTTCAGACATTGAAAAATTATATTTCATATTTCGAAGTAATGATTATGATGTCAGTAAATGTTGCATTAAAGGTATTAATGAGATGTACACGTTCAGAAGTTCACTAACTTAAGTTATTTTATGTTTATATTATATAAATTGTAATACTAGTATCTAAAACTGTACCTCCCCAGTCAAATAGATAGAAGGGGAAAATAAAAATACTCATTATATATTTATATATATACCTCTTTCTTCTTTTTTTTTTTATGTTCTGTATTGTTATATAATTGATTGTAATGATTAATGATTGTTCTTTGTGTGTTGATGACAATCCATATTTTGGATTTTATATCAATAAAATCTTTGACTTTGACTTTGACTTTGTGTAGAACAAGGATGTCTTAATGACTACAGAAATGAATCTAATTGTAAGATTTTATATCCAATTATTTTTGGATCTAGCTCCATGGTACACCTCTTTATTGTATTTTGATATCTTGACGCCTTGTGGTTCGGGTGTCATTTAATCTCTGATTCGTTGATTTATTTCCGACACCTCTTTTTATTGAGTGTAGAAAGTTGATTCGTTTTTGCAGACTGATTCTCTCGTTCAACAAAACAATTTATCTCTTATAATTGCAAGAATAACAAAATTGATCCAAAATATTTCACTTTTTATCAATTTAGTTCCATTCACACGTTGAAACAATCGTCCTCCATTTGTTTTCCCCTTTTAATTGTAGATTTTAAAAAAATGGCAGAAATAAACACATTAAGTTGTTCCATTCTATAGACTTATTTTTATTTCGAAATTAACAATGTTTGGAAACTTAGGCTTGTGCAAAGGTTACAGAGCCAAGCTTCATATGAAAATGCGCTTGGTGCCATAAGATCATCCAAAACGTAATTGTTGAAACCAACTCAAGATTTTGAAACGTTACATCGCAATGCCTATGATTTATACACCCTAAAGTACGCCTGACTAATTGAAAGCAAATAGAAAATATACACATCAATGATATCATTATGCTGAAAACGTAAACTGTTTGTTCCCAATTTTTAAAGGTAGAAGTCCATAAAAGAATCGTGAGTATTGCTGTGTGTTTGTTTATTCCACATTCGCTAGAGGCATAGGGAGAGGGTTGAGATCTCACAAAACATGTTTAACCCCGCTGCATTTTTACGCCTGTCCCAAGTGAGGAACATCTGGCCTTTGTTAGTCTTGTGTGTGTGTGTGTTTTTTTTTTATTTTGGTTCATTCATATTTTTTCGGAGTTTAATGTGACGTCTATTTTCGCTGAACTGGTATACATTATTGTTTAGGGGCCAGCTGAAGCCCGCCTCCGGGTGCGGGATCTTCTCGCTGTGTTGAAGACCCAATTGGTGGCCTTGGGCTGTTTCTGCTCTTAGGTCGGATGGTTGTCTCTTTGGCGCATTCCCGTTTCCATGCTTAATTTTATAAATGAATTTCAACATACTTTTATATTCTGAATAAGATATCAAGACATTTCATGTGTAGGCTTTCCACACAGTCACGAATCTCATTCATGTATCATGATTCTTTAATGAACTGGTACTTAAAAGTATATAGTATCTAAAAATAAACGATTACTGATACATTACGACTACAACTGTCCGTTACCAGCGCTAGCATCCCTCTCTGGCAGTTGTCATATTTATTTCAGTATTTGTCTGTGCATGTGACATAATAGAACCAAATTAAGAATATCTGTTAAATAAATAATAAACTTAGAGATGAAACACATTGCAATTAATTAAAAATAAAAGCCGTTACTTTGCGTTTAGTTAAATTGTCAAGATCGTTTATGGATTTTGTGATAATTATATTTTTTTTTATAATATTCAATTCACGTTATTGATATACCATATTTTTCTTACACACTATGCGTAAATAACTCGTTGTATAGCATGCTTCGATAACTATAAAAACGCATGCAAAGGCGATAT